GTTGTCTCTATACTTCCGCTCTTGAACATCTTTCCTGCAAAACATGATAAAAACACATAAAAACCAATATAAAAAGGCCCTAGACACACACAACTTGTAAGTGAAATGTATTAAAAATATCGTAAACTCACGGTATATCAACAGTCATCAGGAAGTTCATTTGGTTTTTATGCAAGTTTTTTTGTATTAGAGCTTTTGAAGTTTGGTCGGTTGACTTGGGTCAAAACTTCAGGTAAACAGCATTGAAATGTGATTCTGATGGTTTCGTTAGCTCTAAAACGTCTATTTTAGTCTAGATGTACCTTTGATTTGGGTCCCGAGACTTCCATACTCAATTCGAGCTATCATGTGACTTTTAGCTAAACAGAGCATTGGCTTTTTCATCGAGACACCTCCATTGAAAGTTTCGACATCTTCATTGAGTTTGAAATGTTGAATTTGAAGGAGTAGCATAGTTTGTTTACGTGCACAGGGTTCCAAACAAATCCCGAGCCCCCCATCGGAGCATTTTCTCAACTCTAAGTTTGAGTTGGTGCACCATGCCTTAATCGAAAAACTCTAAAATAATGTTTTAAACTTTAAAGGATGCGTCCTGTTTTAGAAGGTGACGCCTCAATTGTCGCCTTGCCTCACCCCATTTCCCTTTTTATTGTTCAGATTGCCGAGCAAATTGACAATGACTCGCCTCACCTCACGCCTAAGGCTCTCGCCTTTGAAAACACTGAGGCTACTTGTCACCTCCCACCAGTGACAGGCACCAAGTATAATTTTATCCACAAAGACTAGGACAAATGGAAGACACCATCTAATGTTTTTTCTCTATTAGAATTTGAACTTGAGACCTCCTGGTTTTCAACAAAATCATTGACCACTATGTCACACCCTTGGATGATTCATTTGCATTTTTTCCTTATGAAAATTGTTTTTTATTTGTGCTTAAATCTCAAAAAGACCTCTTTACTTTTGTACACTTTCACGTTTGATAAAATCGCCTTATATGCACATTTAGAATTACGACTCTCTTCCACAATGGTCTCTATTTCCACATAGGTGGGAAGCAAATATGAGTGTGCTGCCAATTTTCGTTTTAATATCACCAAGAAACAATACATGCAACCCAAAGACAAGTCAAACTAGTAATACAAACATCAAACTGAAGCTTTCATTCCATCATAATGATCCAAGCAAATTATCGCTGCTTAGTAGAAGTTAAAGTTAGAGATGGCTTTTAGTAATTTCCTAACGTGCACAAGCGTAAAGTAATAGCATGTTCTTCCTTCTTTCGAGCTTTACATCCTCTAAAAAGAGGATGAGAGAAATGAGAAAAGGAAGGGGAAAAAAAGATGTCTTTGGTTTGAGGCATCAAGTACCAAAGTGAATATATTGTCTTGTGTTATATATTCCATATCCTTCTAAGCTTCACATGATGTAAAGAAAGTAACTACGACCTTTGTGTCTTTCTTTCTAATTCTAAGATCCCCTTGAATGGATCTTCTTTTACTTCTCTCTTACCCTCATAGTCTTATTGCCGCTTGGAGCGGATAGCTTAGAAATACAATAGTTCCTCAAGAACAAACAATCAATCCATGCAACATAACACTTCCGAATTTTACTACAGGCTTGAGAAATAGTAACAGATAACATGAACTTAGGCGTACAACATTGCTTTTGTCTTTGCCTGAATGTTGCATCTATGTAACCTCTGCTGGAAATTTGAAAACTCCAAAAACTCAACAAAGTAAAAGGTTTTCATTAGTTTCATATCCAAGCACAAGATCACACACAACCACACAAAAGTAGCCATCAATGGATGTGCCTATCAACTAGTAGAAATGATCATGCAAATGTGACCTCTGAGAAGAAAACGTTCATTTTCTTGCTAATGAACAAAAATTAGAAAAGTCTGCATTCCTTTCTACCAAGAATATGTACCCCACAAAAGAACTTGAAAAAAGAAATTCAAGGTCAAATTCTCAAAAACAGAATTACTCAATGCCCGTAAATATTAATATTTTAGATAAAATCACAATCACTCATTAACAAAAAAAAATAAAAAAGAACCTAAACCCACAAGAATCTTTAAAGAAAATCAAAGCAAATTTCTCAAAAGCAGTTCCAATCAAATTATAGATAACATCAAAACTACCCCTTAAAAATATATATATATATATATATATAAAAAAAAAGAGATCCCTAGGCCCACAAACTAGAATTCCCTTTTAATTTATTTATTTACAAAACTAGCATTCCCCTTTCATAAAAAGTTGTAAAATTTATGAAAAGTTATGACTTTTATGAAAAGTTGTGACTTTTATGAAAAGTTTTTACTTTAATGAAGAGTTGCGACTTTTATGAAAAGTTGTGACTTTTATGAAAGGTTGTGACCTTTCCAAAGGGTTGCAACTTTTCCAAATAGTTTTAACATTTCCGATAAGGCACAATAAATAATTGTTCACACTATCCTTTGTTGTCTATTTATAGAGAGATTTCCTCTCTTTTTAAAACAACAAAAATTTTGAACCTCTTCTTCTTCTTCTTCTTCTTCACAATTAAATATTTGTGTACTTTGCTCCCATTGAGTGGCTCATTGACACCATTGCTTATGTTACAGATCATTTATTTATGCTTATGTTATTAAGGATAAATGATAAGATGTAATTTTCATTTTCCTTTACATTATTAATGTTTGTTACTGCATAATCTTGTATGTAAAATAATATAATGTTTTAGTTTTAATGACCGATAGATTTTAAGTATTATTTTATAAATTTCATGATATTAAATTCCCGCGCGAAGCGCGGATAATTTACTAGTCTTTAATAAAAAACAAAGAAAATTTCTCAAAAATCAGTTTCATTTAATTTCTTTGAATGGAAATTCTTTAAAAATTTGATAACATCAGAATTCCCCATTCAACCAAACAGATACACTCACACAAATCTTGAGAGAGGAAAAACAAAGCAGAAAAATCCATGGTAAAAAGAAAATAACCTAAACCCATAAAAATGTAAATTCCTCAAAAGCATTTTCATTCAATTTCTTTGAATGGAATTTCTCAAACACATGTATGTGTTAAAAAAAAAGATCGATAACATGAGAATTCCCCATTCTTGAGAAAAAGAAAACAAGTAGAACAATCTATGCCAAAAAAATAAGTTAATTGAAAGGGAAAAATTGAGCATACCTTTTTTTTAGGCAAGGAAATCATCATTCATATCTTGGTATATATACACAAATAAATAGATTATCTGAATACTATTTGATGTGAAGAAAGAAATCTTTCAGATTTTGTAACTGTTGGCAAAGGTTTAAAGGTAATGACAAATTTTGGTTTTGAACTTGGAAGAGTGAAACTACTATTTTGTCCATACAAAGAGAAATTTTATTATTTTTGTGAGGGTTTAATTAAGAGTTTTTGGTCAAAAACATCCTTAAACTATATCCAAAACTTAAATTATATCCTTAAAGTATCATTTTTAGCAGAAAACATCATTCAATTATTTAAAAGTGAACAGTTTTCATCATTCTATTAGATATCGTCAAAAAACTAAGGGATCCTACAAAAACATGAGCAGTTCACGTGGCCATCAACAAAGTTTTCCTGCATAATTTCTGTACCTGCTATAAGAAGTTCCTGAAAAAAACATATCAAAAATTTTAGACACTATTGCTTACCGAAACAAAAAATGTTTGAAAGGTGTGAGGATACATGATCTGCTATTTTTCTCATTTAGTAACGGAAAGAAGTTGGAGCTTAATTATCTTTACCTTTTTCATAGTCAAACTGTATTTAGATCAATAAATTTTTTGGCCAATCTGATATTGAAGTTATCAAAATATCGATTATGTCTCGCATTTGAGTTTCATTCTACATTATTAGAAGTGGAAGTCTCCAACAAACGCCGTTTCTAGCATATTCAGTTGAGAAGAAACATATTTCAATTAATAAAAATAAAAAAATAAAAAATATTTCAACTAATAATGTTTTTAATATCAAATTACATGAAAAATAAATGAAAAAAAAAGCTGTCAAATTAAAAGATTTTGTATAATGCTAAACTCAATAACCAAAAAAGTTCACGATTAATATTTTTGGCATATCTAAAAATGATAATTACGAATGGATGACGTGATTTTTGTGGGATTTGTTAGTTTTCTAATAAATTCAAGTAGAAGGATGGAAATTGTTCACATTTTAATACTTGAATGATGTTTTCTGCTAAGAATTGATACTTTAAGAATGTAATTTAAGTTTGAGGTATAGTTTAAGGACGATTTTGGCCAAAAACTCTTTAATTAACATGTGGACTCAAGGGTCCACAAATTTATTTTAAAATAAATTATAAAAAATGCAACATTAAAACTCTATATTATTTAGGATGAGACAACAATATAAGGTAACTTGAAAGCAAATAGTAATTTTGGGCTTGTCCACAAGTTTTGGATAGATTCCTCTACTATGTAGATTGGGAGGAGTTCTTCAAGAACATTAGACAAATGGTTACGCCTAGAGTGACTTTGGACCATTGTCCTATTTTACTGCAATGTGGTGACTGGAAAAACAGAAACCCTACTTAAAGTTTGAAAAACTGGTAACTCGAGATAGATGGTTTGCAGGAACTAGTGCATAAATGGTGGAATGAATTTGAAGTAATGGGATTCCCTGACTATGTTTAGCGCCTGAAGCTAAGGATGCTGAAGAAGAAAATCATAGACTGGAGAAAACTAGCATGTGGTGAACTGGACACGAAGAAGAAACCTTTTAGCTGAATTGGCTGATATCAGTTTGGCTCAGGACACTAGGGCTCTAAATGAAGACAAAATGATGGTTAGAGCAATTGTCTTGGTTGAGCTCGAAAAATTTGCAAAGGAACCTGGTTCTTCCAACAATCTTTGTCAATTATCAAAATCAATTTCATCACAGCTCAACACTTTATTTATGACATCTCCACATTGTGGGAGGGTTCAACAGACCTAAGCAATACACAAGGCACTATATGCACATTCAAAATCTTCAGCTTAAATTTTCATTCTATGAACGAAAAACAACTAAGGAGTGAAGTTCTATAGTTAAAAACTAGACATAAAATGAATGGTACCACACTACCACTGCATAAAATTTAACGTTGAGAAATCTGAGATCCCCTCTTTGCTAAGAGAATTAAGTTAATGCCATAGAGAAAAGGCAAGACAAAGTTATGAAAGCAGCACTCTATTGGCAAAGAATGCGACCTTGAAGTAAGCTTTATTGTATTTCTGGATGTTCTACTCCAACTTAAGATGATAGTAGCAATATCTTCAGTGATCTTTTATTTATCTACAACAGCTCTGGTTTTGAGCAACTATGAGGAACAAAATTGTGCATCACCGGCTTCCACGTGTTGCAGGCGGGAGTGGTTGAACAGCAGCAAGAGGGTTCACTTGATAAGAGAATGCAAGTTGCCAGAAGTCAACCAAAGCCTTCTTCATAGATGACGCTTGTCTCTTAAGAACACTGTAATACAAAATGGGGAAAAGTCGGTGAGACAATAGGCCCACATATCACGTAATTGACAAACAATACATGTCTAACATAAGCCAAGTCCAAGTACGTAATAGCCTAGCATTTGTAAACTTAAATATGCCAGAAAAGATGGCAGAAAGAACCGATACAAAAACAATATGCTCAACTGGACATCTCCACATCATTCTATAATTTCATTAGGGTTTTGGATTGGCAACAAACTTAAAAGACAGATATAGGTGAGTTCTGACTATGGTATGAGATTCTCATAGACCCACAGGTATAACATGAAACACTGCTAGAGAGGCGCAGTTGCATCATGTGCTTGAATGAGGTTTACTTGCTACCTATGTGCATACGGCAACAAATCCAGGTGACTCTTAACTGATGTAACTAGTACAAGAGTTTATGCCCTTAACAGCAAAGGTTTCTCATGACTACGTGCAATACAAAAAGCTAGAATATAGAGCCAGCCCAATGGATTAATAGACTTATTTCAGATGCTAAACAATGTTTTATATCTTCTAAACCTGATTCCATTCCCTGACAAGTTAGTTCCAAAGATTTTTAATGGAAAACATCCTTGAAGTATATTCTAAGGGCTCGGTTGGCATCACTAATCCCGGGATCAGTTTTAGGATGAGTTTATCCCATGTTTGGTTGGGATAAAGCTGCTGGATAACTTATCCCGGGATTAGTTATTTCGGGATTGTAGTGCTATTTTTATCCCACATTCAGGGTGGATAACAATCCTTGGATAACTAATCTCAGGATAACTTGTTCCCAACCAAACGAGTCCTAAAGTTCATGTACATCCTTGATGTTTCTCAATTAACCAGAAACATCCTGATGTATTAAAAAAATTAGGCTAAACCCATCAGTGGCCCCCTAAAGTTGGCAGCAATTTTCACTTAGACACTTTAACTAGGTTTTGTTCATTTTAGACACCTCATGTGACATCACATTGTGTCATTTTGACACTTTTTTCACTAGCACATGTTGACTTCAAGTGCGTGTTAACCAAGCGCGTCCACGTGGATTTAGATGCCCAATTATATCATGCCAACTCATTAAAAGTCTATGATATTAAAGAGAAAAAATAAGAATTAAAATAGATGACAATAACCAATGAATAAATGACATGTGGTCTTTTTATCCCAAAAAATTAAATAAAATATTTGACAAATTTAAAGAAAAGTGCAACCCCCCCACAACTTCCCCAGTCATCTTCTCCATTGTATTACTCCATTTTTATTATATTTGAGCTTTATTTTTTCTGTCATAAACCCACACCCACACAATCTACTCTATCATATTCCTTCATTCCACACAGCCATCTTTCCCGTTTTATTCCTCTTTTTTCATGATTTTTTTCTGCCATATTCCCCATTCATTGCACCCTCACCTCCCATTTCTTCATTTGATATAGGGCTAAAAGGTGCAAATATATAACAACAATGGTTCATATTTTTAAGATTGCGTCTCTTTTTCTTTAATTTTGTGATATTTGTAGTTTAATTAGGGCTCAAGGTTAGTGAGATTAACATTTACATAGTAAAAATTGAGATTTTTTGGCCCCTACTTTAGGATTATTGTGGGTGAGCTTTACATGATTTGGGGTGTTGATATGGGTTCGATTTCTTGTTTCTTTTTGGGTCTATCTGAGTTTATAGTGCGAAATTTAAATTGAAATTATGATAACAAAAGATTTAACCTCCATTGAAGTACTTTAAGCTTTTTGAAATAATGGGAGAGATAGTGGCTATAAAATGGGAAAGAAGAAGAGAAAAAATAAAATAAAATAGACTAAATAAGTCCCTCACGCGTCAATAGTGAGTGTACAACACTCACTTTGCCATGTCAGCTGAAAGTGTCAAAATGACACAACGGAGCCTGACATGAGGTGTCTAAAATGAACAAAGCCTAGTAAAAGTGTCTAAGTGAAAATTGCTGCCAACTTTAGGGGGCCACCAATGGGTTAGGCCAAAAAATTAACAAATTTAATCCAGAGTCAACTTTTCATCCAAAAACTAACGGAAATTTCAAAAACACATGCATACCACATGATTCACCTATGTAAACTGAAAATATTCTTTCATCCCCATTTGAGTGTAGCTCTATCTTCTTACCTAAATCTGAGCAAAAAAGTAAGGGCAGAAGCCCATGCTTCTCAAGTATTTCTTTTTTCTCATACAGTCAATAATAATTTCGAGCAGTATACAGTCTAAAAAAACGTGAAGTCACTGGAAGCTAGCTAGTAGTCTATTTGATCAAGCTTTCTGAAAACCAAAATGTTTTTGCTTCAAAAAGGCACTTAAATATGTGTATTTTTTCTGTGGGATTGCATCTGCTAAATGTTCTCCATGATAGTTTATGCTTATCAGATTAGTTATATAGTTTGACTCCAGGAAGAAGATCACATTAATGAGCAAAAATTTGCAAAAAACATCGAGCATTAATAAAAAAATCAGTCAACTGGACTATTACAGTAGAAGACTTCTCTAGGCAAATAAAATAAAAAAAAGACAAAGGAATATCAGAAAATTGAAGTTTGAAAAGAGCTGACAAACTTTATTGATAATTTGGCAGCATTACTAGAGCAGTAATTTACAATGAGTTTAAGTTGAAACAGATGAACAGAAATAAGTTCTTTTTTGCACTTTGTACTGCCGATTTTTGCAGGCAAGTCAAGTCAAAGAATGCTCAAGTGAGTTAATAGATAGTAATACATTTTTATACTGAGGAATTCTTGTAAGAAGCAAGTTTTTTTTTTAAATTGGTAAAAGTTATGTTCATCAGCATTCAGGGCAATGCAGGCCACCTCCAAAATTTACAAAATAGTCATGGTTAGTTACAAGGAACCTATAAAATCCACTAATTGAATTTCTTCTTTTATATTCTATTCTTTACACCAAAAGCCTAAAGTAGTAATAACTTTCCATTTAATATTCTGTACAGAGCATTCTTTCCCTTGAAAGATCCTCTGATTTCTCTCCTTCCAGATAATCCAGCAACTCAGGAGGTCTGCTCTGTGCTCTGGCATGCTCCAGTTCATATCAGCTATACTGAAGAAGAGTTCTCACACTTGTGCAGTTACTTTGCGCTGAAGAAAAAGGTGCTTGCTGGTCTCAAGTGCCTTTTCGCATAGTGTACACCTAGAGGCAATGTTAATTCCCTTTTTCTGCATAGACTCATCTGTCAAGCAAGCTCTTTTAGCCACTAACCAAGTAAAGCACTTCACCTTTGGTGGAGACACGCTCTTCCAAATGGTATTCCAAGGGTCTGCTGCTATGCCTGAATTTTTAGCTAATCCCCATTTGTAAACTCTATTAGCAGAGAACATGCCATCGTTATGATGCCTCCATATCAATTTGTCTTCTTCCATGTTGGTCCCAGGGGATCCAGCAATCTTATTCAGCAAATCTATCACCCAGGTTATTTCCCAATCATTAAGCAACCTCCTAAAAAACAAGTTCCATCCTTGTGGTGACCACATTTCTTGTATGCTGCATTCAAGGTTTACACATATAGAGAAGAGTCCAGGAAATAAAGATTGTAAAGGTGCCATCGCCACACCAATCCTCTTTCCAGAAAGAGATTTTGTCCCCCCTTCCAATTTTGACCTTTGTGTTCGCCTTTGTCAACCAGAGATTTCTAATGGACCTCCAAACTCCAACTTCATAGGTGGTAATCACTTAATTTGTGCACCACTGCTCCTCCAGTCCATATTTTATGGGATATCACTCCATAAGGCCTGATTCTCTTGATTGTACCTCTAGAGCCACTTCATGATCAAGCTATCATTTTGTAATTTTAGGTCTCTCATTCCTGGACCACCATATCTTTTGCTTTGTTGTCCAGTAGCCCACTTCACCAAAGTGAAATTCTTCTCGATTTTGTTCCCTTGCCATAAGAAGTCCCTTCTTAGCTTGTCTAGAGTATTAACCACTTCCCCAGGGATAGGAAAAAGAGACATTAGATATGTTGGTAGGCAGTCCAGTACTGAATTGATCAATGAACTCTCCCTCCTAGAGATAGTTATTGTGATTTCCGTAAGGCTAGCTTGTTATCAGTTTTTTCAATCATCCCATCCCAATTGTGAAGTGTCTTGTGTATAGCACCTAATGGCATGCCTAAATAGATTGTGGGCATTTTCTCTATCTTGCATTTCATAGTATTTGCTAGTGTCTGTATCTCCTGATACTGGAAAAATGTTGCTCTTCCTCCAATTCACTCTCAGCCCTGAACATGCTTCAAAAACCACCAATATTACCCTAAGCTAACATATGCACTCTTGTACAGCTTCACAAAACACCAGTGTATCGTCTGCATATAATAGATGTGTCAATTCCATAACTTCATTGGCTGAGTCCTCTTATCCAGTTATTGATTGGAGCCTTTCGCATCAAACTTTTTTTTTTGAGAATGAGCCTTTCTCATCAAACTTTCCAGTCCCTCCATCGCAATAATCTATACTACCTTAAAAGCATGAACTCCAAAAAAGGAATGTTAAATTACTAAAATATCCCTCACTTAAAACTTAATTAGATTACGCAAATACCCCTCACTTAAAAAGAAACCCTCACTAAACACCCCTCGCACAACAAACACCTTTCCTGCAAATAGTCACCACTTTCACTGGATAGACGCCATGTTTCCCCTGCATCTGCCCAACGTCCAAAAAATCACCAACCAACACAACCTCTTGATATTACCCTATTTATATCGACCACATTCACAACACCGTCTCCCATTAGTAATTCAACTTTTGCAACACGCTCAAATGTACATCACTTTTCCTCCTCTTCTACAAGCGTTCTTTTTGTTTTACTCAAGAGTCAAGCCTTACATCTGCACTGTGTAATTAAGTTATCCTTCTTGCGCTGCTTTCGCAGACAATTATTGATCATCCATTGGCTAACACATTACAATATTGGACTCGGCTTTGAAATATTTCACTCCACATCAAAAGTTGTATGTTTCCACCGTGTTTATGTTTCCTGTAATGCTATTTTTTGAACTACTTTCAGCACATAACATTGCTAGAACCTACTTAATTATTCCTCTGTATTTTACTACTACTGCAGCACGGAATTAACATTGATATTCACTTTCCGCTATGCACCTCTAACCATCCAGATTCATCAAAAATGGCGACCGAAACCGAACTATCAAATCAGAGTGTCCCTATTAACAAGATACCAAAACACTCTGTAGATTGGGTGATGAGAGTATTAGTTATTCGAAACGGTTCTGTAATTTCGTACAAGAATTCGCGCCATAAAGGGACTTTCCAAACGGTAATATTAGTGGACGACGAGGTACACTTTTGCTTAACTTATATGTTATCGTTCCTATCTATTCCCCTTATTACTTCTCTAATGACATCACATGCCGCTTACATCAATACTAGGGGACAAAGTTGCAAGCAACACTATTTAACAAGCATATTGGCACATTGAAGGACTTTTTGAAGGCAAATAAAACTTACTACATTGCTAAAGGGCTGTTGGATCGGGTCAACTCCAATTACACTTCCGTGCACAAAGAGATTGAACTATCCATTACAGACAACACAATCATAAAGGAGAGTGCCCATACTGTTTCAACACACAACTTCATTGATGGTTTTGTATCTTTGGAACAGGCAGAGAAAATGCCAAATGGTGCCATATTCGGTAACTCTTCACACGACTTATTAGTAATTACCGTCAAGTACATAATACATATCACTAATTTACATGTCCTCTATTCAGACTTGCTTTGTGTGTTAGTTACGTTGAATCCCATCATTGTAAAAGGCGATAACAAAAGATGCGAAATTGTTGTTACAAATGAACTGTAAATTGTCATTCTTTGTTCTTCACCGTCCATATTATTTTCCAGTGCTTTCACAATACTCGTCTAATTGATAATCCAGCATGGAGCATACAACTGTTACTCTATGGGGAGGTTTTGCAGAAAACGATGGCCCATTTCATGAAAAGTTGAGAGATGACCAACCTATTCTAGGCTTATGTGACGTGAGAGTCTCAATCTACAAAGGTATAGACAACCTCTCCTATTTGCTAATTGTGAAAATTGCAAGTATATTTGTTGATTCCTCGATTAATATGTTGTTTCCAATGTAGGGACTTATGGGATATCTATTATACCCATGAGCAGTGTGTTGATCAATCCAACGTTTCAAAAAACACTAGATCTCCGCGCCTGGTACGGAACCTCATTTACTAATATGCTAGGCATTATTCATTTAACCCCACTGCCAGAACTTATGTTCAAACTATAATTGAACAACGTAGCCACGTTTTGTTTTTAGGGAAAACTAAATATCACCAGTCCTATCGAGTTAAAATGTAATCTAACAAATTTAAAACCCACAAACATTTCTTCAATTATGTGCTATAGTTAAATCACCTCTTATGATATGTAGGCGTGAAGTCATAAAGGCCGAAATGAAAGGTATCTCAACCACACCAAATAAGGTAATGAATAAAGCCACAGAAATTATGTTACCCAATATTATGGATGGCACGCTTGATGATACACAAGTACCTTCAAACCGACACTTTACCTATACACATAGGACCATTGTTTTTAAGCATCACAAGACAAGGCAACCACGTGCAACGCACGTGCGGTAAATCTAGTAAAATAAAAAGGGTGACAATGGGTCCCCTTGCCTAAGACCCCTTTCTGCTAGAAAATAACCTGCAGGTTTTCCATTTATCAAAATAGAGAACATGGTGGTTTTTATGCAAAATTCAATCCATTTGAGCCATCTAACCCCAAAACCCATCTGTCTAAGAGTGTTGATTAGATAGTTCCAATTTAGGTAACCATAGCCTTTTCTATGTCCAACTTGCACATCACCCCTGGCACATCATCTCTAATTCTGGTATCAATTAGTTCACTGGCAATAAGTGCAGCATCCATTATCTGTCTCCCTTTGACAAAAGCCATCTGATGATTGTTAATCAACCTACTCATCACCTTTTTTAATCTCTCAGACAATTGTTTAGCTCTTATTTTGTATACCTCTAATACAAGGCAAATAGGCCTGAAGTCTCTTAAGTCATTCACCCCCACCTTCTTTGGAATCAAGGCCACGAAAGTGACATTGAAGCTTTTTTCAAATTTCTGCATAGAGTGGAACCTATGGAAGGTTTGCATCAGATCTCCTTTTATTGTGTCCCAGAAAGCTTGGAAGAAAGCCATAGTGTACCCCTCTGTCCCAGGGGCTTTGCCTGCTGCACACATCTTAATCCCTTCCAGCACCTCCTCCTCTTCAAAAGCCCTTTCTAACCACTCTTGCTCTTCTAATGTTATGCCTTGTACATCTAGAATGTTGAGATTTCGTCTCCAACATTCATCTTCCTTGTACAGGTTTTGATAGAAAGCAACTATTGCATCCTTAATAGCAACAGGATCATTAGATTGTTCTCCATTTATCATTAATGAATCAATAGTGTTGAGTCTTTTGTGAGCTGTCTGTAAGGTTGATCGGGATAGAATTGAATGATTGAATAAAATTGAGCATGTGATTCTTCTCTAATATTTTTATGGAATTTGAGGAAGAAGATAGAGTGCTCAAATGGTGAGGAGAGGGCATATTCTATTTTTTCTGTTTCAAAAGCAAATCACGAGCATTGCATTTTTTATTTGTTTTTCACTTGAGTGTTTGGATGGAAAGTTAACTTTGGATCAAAGTTGTTTATTTTTCGATACATCACGAATGTTTCTTGTTAATAGAGATACATTAAGGATGTACTAGAACTTTAGGGTATACTTTAGGGATGTTTTCTGTTAAAAAGTCTAGGTTCAAATATGCATGTATCTTTATACACAACTTCACATAAGTGCCACACAGCCGCAGTAATCAAATATAATGTGCATTTCCATCCACTGTCTACAGTAAGTTGAATTTGACTTTGATCCAGCAAAAACAATAAATGAAAGATATCAGTTTTAGTTGTTTCAAGATAATGGAGGGAATTTGTCAATTTGATATGTCCACTAAATCATGTGCTAATACTATGCAAGTTAAGTTGATAAGGGAAAAACATCCTTCAGTGCACAAGTTGTGCACTAATTCGCTTTATCCTATACAGTGACCATGTCATGAGAAAATTTGGTAGATTTTACACAGTAATATGTGTCTCCCACAGCTATAAGATGAAGAAAATCATAATAAGAGTAAATTCTTCTTTATCTAGAAGAGAAGTGGCAGAGAGACTATATTACCTCCATAAAGAGGCTTGTTTTCTCCGCACGGTATAGTAAACAAGTGCCGCCAAAAACCCAAGAAAGATACTTCCATTTGATAAGACCAAGCGACTACTTCCAAACTTCAAAGTGACTGTACGAAACCACCACAATGGAGTTCTCCGTCTAGAGAACTCCAGAATTGATTGTTTCATGGTGTTCTCTCCCTTAGACTGGTCTCTGTGTTCCAAAATATTTGCTGTTCCATTGCATGATTTTTCTTCAATCAGGGAAGTGGAATCAGTTGTGCATTCATCTATTTGGAGCGGTAATGCTGAGGACTGCGAAGAGCTGACCAGCTTTAAAGTATTCATGGAGTGCAACTGCCTCAAAAGATCCTGGAAGACAGAGAAATAATTAGAAAATTCCCAAGCTATAAGTTACTCTGTCACAAAATAGCTAAACCACCAACGGCATATCAGAACACAACAAAGGTGTCTCAGTTAGACTGCATTGCCCAGTTTCTACAAGCATATTTCTCTTTCAACAAAGTTTAATCTCACAAAATTAGGGCGTATTAGACTATATATTCAACCATAAATCACCAAGGAACTTCAACTCATAGTGCTAAGAACCTCAAGAATATAGATTCCAACAACATACTTTTACAAGGAAAACAACACAGTTATTCCAATTGATGCCCTGCACAAGCAAAAATTAAAAGAGTGTAGGGGACAAAAGAAAAAAAAAATCACGTGAGACCATCATTTTAATTAAATGAAGCAAGAAAGATTATTGTTTACCTGCCTCTTCTCCTCAGGTAGAGGGAATTTCTCAACCCAAGAGATAGCAAGATCCAAATTTCCTAGAATCCTCCCCAAAAAGGTTATCACATAGAGCTCAATAATTTCCAGGTACTTATCAACTCCAAGGGAAATCTGATTACTAAATTCTTCCATGCTTGCAACAGAATAATACTTTCCATCAACATATCTCCACTTCGTAAGGAATTCCTCTAGAATTTCTTGAACTTCAGCAGAAGGGCCATCTGGTATCTGGAGACACACCCTAAAGAAGAAGTTTAGAGTCATTTCCATATCAAAGAAGGGAGCCTTTCTAAAAATGGCGAAGGAAAAGGAAGTTATGAGGAGCAACCTTGCAATGATAAGAACATTTCAAGCTCAGGAGAGGGATCATGAAACTTTTTTCTGTTTACTTTGGATACATGGGATACCGGGGAGTACATGAATTCAGATTCAGGATCTCAAAACCAAAAGAAACATGTCAAAGCAACGAGTGTGTCTCGATTTTTAAAGGCACTCTTATATTTTATGAATTATGCCATTAAAATAATTCATGTTATAGAAATCCAGTATGAAAAAAAGTGAACGATAAAGGAATTGCAGCATAAAATTGAGAATGGTAATTAAAGTTGTATTCCAACAACGACACCCAACCTTATTAAAAGGAAAAGAAATCATCTCACTAGACCACCAAGCTGAGAAACATCAAATTCACATTGATGATTATCTGTGCTAAAGGAAGATGTGCAATTATTAGGGAAATAGCATGTCGAAGAAATGAGGTACCCAGTAAGGAAAACTTGGGCAGGAATAGCAGTGACTGAACCAAATAGCATTTTCAGCTGCTTCAGTATTTCTGATGTCCTGTCAAACATCAAAACCATGTTAGTGTCAGAATTAAAGCACACTCGAAGAGTTTTTTTCTACGAAAGAAAGCAGCAGGATTACCACATCGAGAAACAGTAAAAGATGAGAAAGGACCAATAATACACATACATCAGAGCCACTCCATATAAGGCATTTCAGAGGTACTCATAAATCCAAGCAATATCAGAAATCAGAATACAGAAAATCAATATCCATCTACTAACAATGTTCAATAAGTGTGTTCTATAAGGAGGAAAACATTTATTTTCCAGTTTTCCCATGTTCGGTTGGTCAACACTTTTGGAAAGCATTTTCTCGAGGAAAACAAGTTCCTGAAAATTAGGAAAAAATGACTTCCCCAGTAGAAGAAAGGATAAAACAAGTTCACAAGTGGCATTCCATATTAGTTGTGTGCTCCCGCCCCCAATACACCTCATCTTCATCCCCAACCCCACCTCCCATAGTGTTATATACAAATGCTTTTAGTGTAAAAAATTCTTACATACCGAACACAAGAAAATAAGTAAGAAACCCTCTTATTTTCCTAAAAAACATTTTTCTTCCTACCTAACAGCCGAGACTCTTATCAATTCAACCCAGATGGAGACAAACAAATTCCTCTGCAGTACAGTTTGTAACAACTAATAATGAAGCAACTCTCAACTCTCAATGCTCAAGTAAGATTGTCATTTAACCCTAAAACTCAGGCAAACAATATTCTTAAAAGTCTTTGTAATAGAATAAGAAAATGCAGGTAATACATAAATGAATAGAAGTGGCATAAACAAGTACCTCCCCAGCTCTTTGTAGGACTGCACCAAAATCATGGCAGCTGATTCCAACATATCACCCAATTCGCAATTGTCTTCATTCGTTTTACCATTTTTCTCAATTAATTGCTCAATAATTGAGGAAGACAAAGTTGCTGCTTCTTGGAACATACAACACACCAGATAACTGCAAAATTGAACATGACAATTGGAAAACAATTTTGACCAAATTGTTGCATAGTGAATCAAGAATAAACCCAAAAAAGAAAATTCTTTGCTGGGTAATTATCCCCAAAAAAAGAAGAAAAAGTACCTTTCTGAAAGCTCAATTTCTTCCCAAGTCGGAAAAGATGATGCACCCTCCATAGCCATCTCTCTTCCGGGTAATCAAGCGTCCTGTTTGGGGCTATTTTTAAAAAAAAAATCAGTATTTGTTGTTTTGTAAGGTACACTCAGGTGCACACACAAAGATTTTTCTAATTTTTTTCCAACTCTTCTCACAATTTTATCCTCTATTCTGTTCTTTACACACTTTTACGAAAAAAATATATAGCCAGATGTGTTTCTAAAAGTTCTCTTAATAACCGTGGCTGGCCAAAAGCCTACAAGAAAATAAGGAGGAAACTAATCCAATATACAATCAAACCAACTAAGCCTCAACCCCAAACTAAATGGATTCAGCTCCAATTCCAGTACCGGAATATAAATGAACTTATTTACCAAAGGAGAATTCCTTCCAGCCAAAAATGAGAACTTAAGCATTGTTGAGAATCTTAAAAATGAAAATTAAGTTACAGAACCGAAAATACAAAAAATGCAGTTTTATAGCAAAACATACACAATTAAAGAGAAAGATACCCAAATAGCAAACCGCAATAAAAAAAAAATTACTTGGAGAAACAAAATGTAGGGCTTTAAAGTGAGAGCTTACTCGCTAGCTACAAAACATCAACTTACATGATCTGATCAAAATTCTAGACGAAAACCTCAATATTCCAATTTTAATTTTCTCTATACCTAGTGATACCTCTATACAAACAAAAAAAAAACTCATACACACAGCCAGAGACAAAACTGAAGATTCAAGAGAAAATAATCAATTCTGGTAGAAGAAATTCGAGAAAAAATGAGTAAACTTACCAGATGTTGTTTGTTTGGTGATCGGTGATCGGTGATCGGAGGAAGGAAGAAGGCAATAAGAGGCTTGTAGTTTCGTAAGGTACACTCAGATGCGCACACAAAGATGTTTGTGTATTTGTTGGGAGGGTCATTTCAAATGGGTCACGAGTGTGCGATTCTAATTTAGTTGATGGAAAATTAAAAAAAATTAGTTAATTTTAAAAGGAAAAATAATATTTGTACCAAAAAAGTAAAATTATTTACAAGCTCATGTCTCATTACATTTATACTTTTTTTTTATAATTGAGGGGAAAACTATTCATACCAAGTTTGTCTCATTTGTTGGCTTCTTCTCCAAGCTACTTTCTACGTGAAACTATTCACTCCAATTTTGCCTCCTTTCCTACCTTCTTCTTCTTCCCCAAGCTACCTTCTACGTGTATTCCATTGATGGATAACATTACAATTTTAGTGCAGCACAAAGAAAAAAGAAAGCACATATGGAAAGGAAAATCAAGAAGCATTAAATTTTTTCTACTACTCAAAGTTTCTCAAGCGCTTTGTTATACTTTCCTAGTTTTTATCTTTTACACCAATGTTTGTCATGCTTTCTTCTTTATTCACTATATGTCATCTCCTTATCTCAATAGCCTCATACACAAATTACGATGCTGCTCAGGATATTTTATTACAAAATCAATTATTAATCGATGGCGAGACTTTAGTTTCATCCAACTAGAAGTTTGAATTAGGTATGGTGGTATCAAAAAAGAAAAAACAGGTCTTCACTGAAAACACTACTCAATTACTCTTTGATACTATTAGAGTATATATATACTCTGGTGGTATCAAGGAGAAAGAGGTAGTGATTCAGTGAAAACTAGCTAAACTGATACTTGATACCACCAGAGTATGTAAGAAGAAAAGTCAGTTCTTCACTGAAAACACTACTCAATTACTCCTTGATACCACCAGAATATATATATTATGATGGCATCAAGTAGGAAGAGATAGTGATTTAATGAAAAAACTAGCTAAATTGATACTTGATACCATTGGAGTATAAATATACTCTGGTGGTATCAAAGAAGAAAAAACAGTTCTTTACTGAAAACACTACTCAATTACTCCTTGATACCATTAGAGTAAACATATACTCTAGTGGTATCAAAGAGGAAGAGGTAGTGATTTAGTGAAAACTAGCTAAATTGATATTGGCACACTCTAGTGGTATTAAAAAAGAAAAACAATTCTTCAAAACACTACTCAATTACTCTTTGATAACACCAGAGTATATATACTCTGATGGTATCAAGGAGTAAGAGGTAGTAATTCAGCGAAAACTAGTTACATTGATACTTGATATATAAACCTTACCCGACCACTATCTTAGAAGCGGCAAAGTTGTTTCCAATTGACCCTCGACTAAAGGAAAAACAAGCTCGAAAAAGAAATAACAGAAGTACAAGAAACATAAGATAATAACAAAAAATAATAGATAGTAACAAAACAGAAATTACAATACAATAATCGAGGTTCATGAAACAATAGAGAGCAACAGAAATCAAAGGACAAGAAACTACCAAAGCAATACTATGACTACTAAGATAATATTATGCAGTGTAAGACATCAATATAAAAGGTAATGATTCTTTAACATAAACAATATTTGGACTGTAATTCTTCTATTGAAACTAATCAAATAATTTATCACGGTTTTTGCATATGAACGTTTTACATATCACACAGACAAATTGTTTAAGAAGTATGATCAAAGTCACTAAAACACTTCGTTTAACATACAAAATGGATGTTTAAGTTTTTCAGGAAATCTAGGACAAAACCATTATGTAGATTAATAAAATTTGATCCAAGGAGTCAAAACAAACTTTAAAATGACCTGATGCACACTTTATTACTCCATATTATTCGAAGTAAAATACATAACTATTGTCCGTCCACATCAAGAGCACAATTTGGATTCTGAACTTGTTGCCAAGCACCTTTATTTGATATTAGACCATTGATACAGGTAAAAGGAATTTAAACTTTAGGCCTAGGGAAAGCTATACTGCTCGAACTCTTCAAAAATGTCACCAGTTGCGTGTCCAGCACGGGTGAAACAACAACAATTTAGAAAAGTCAAGTAACATAGAAAAGGGCTATCAAACCCTCTACAACAATGACTGCCTCCATCTGAGCAAGTTGGGAGGTCGGATATAAGAGTTTTGAATAATCATGTCGTTTCATTTAAGTATATTTCATTCCGAAATGAGTACTAATCCTCTACACTGGAAAAAAAAATAAACTTAGCTTCAAGAATACTCTGAGGCAGAGGCAGAGCTACAAGCTTGTCCACAGATTGAACAAAATGAAGTAGCTTTGGCCCAAAACTCAATAAGTTGTCTTTTCTAGAATCCAGAACTCATAACCTCAAAATCCTAACTTCGCCTCTACTCAACAGATGATCATTTTAAAGTGCAAAATGTTATATGAAGATTACTATATCTGTAAGTGGATGATGTTGAAGAATCAAATCCTTTACAACTTCATTCTTGCTAAAAGAACTTGATTCATGTTTTCACCAATCTAGTAAAAATGGAATTATTCTATAAAAGAGGAAAAAAGTAAGGCAATACAGAATTCTATCAATTTATCAAACATGTTCCACTATCAATGAAGTCTATGACAAACTATACTTCGACATGTAAGTAGGACTTATCTTTGAAAAATGAAAGTAAAGAACAACCTGGTGAAGAATAGCTGGCGCTCCAATTTCTCTTGATGTTTAGCCAGTGAGCATACAACGTCCAAGGCCTCTAGTGGTATGTACTCTGGTCTCTAGATATGCCAGCTTGATGAAGATTCAGGAAATATCAATGCAGCTGAAATTGCAGCATTAACAAGCTCCACTAATTTAGTAAGAAATTGACGATAATGGCATTAAAAGGATTATCTTTTTCGAGTCTGAGAAAAATAGGTAATCCGAAGAGAAAGGGGAGCGGTAAAAAAAATCAAGCCAAAGCTTGATCAACACTTTCAAGCTAGATACATTTATTTCTATTTTCAAACATGCATGAGCAAATTACCTTGGGTTAATGATATATATGCAGTTAAAGAGAAATACTAGTGCTGGTGTGCCCGTACTGAGCACGGGCCCAATCTGGAGCAAACAATAGAAAAGAGAAATCAAATAGATAAAAAGAGGCTGAGGAAGAGGATCGCCAACAGAGTATAATGAGAAAATTTGATGAAATATAATATCCTCATTCATCTATTTGTGTAATTAATAGACACTGCTCTTTTTATTTGGCATTACAGAGGGAGTACTTTTTTTCCAAATGAGGTTGAGATGCATGATCAAACAACTAAGCAGATCAACTCAATTTCATCATCTTCCTACTAACATTTTTTCTTACTAATGCAAAGCTTGATTAATGATAGAATGATTATCCTTGGAAATGCCTTAAAAGAAGTTGTGATCATTTTTCAAAACCCAGTAAAATTAGTCACAAAAATATGACTGATGCACGCGAGTATAAAGATCCAAGGGAAGCAAACTCACACAAACTATGTTTAAAATGTGAAGAAGCATCATAACAAACTATCAAATTGTGAGAATATTCATCAAGTCTTTCTTATTCTTTTCAATCCTTAAAAGGGGAACATAATTACTACTCTCTCCAGGGAAAACAGTTGTCGGAAATGGTCAGCTAAACGGAGATGATACTTCATGAGAAATTAATTCCTCTTCCTCCGCCATTTCACAAAGATCAATTTATATGTTCTTCTCATTATCTTGACGCAATCCATTGAATTTTTTTTTATACAAAGGAGTGACTACACACCCTCACAAGTCAAAGAAATTTGTGAAGATATGCCACTGAAGCTATAGCAGAAGATTTCAGGAACAAGAGGTTAATTCTGTACTTGAGCAAAAGGAGCAGTCTATCTTGATGACCCAAAAACTATCAATAGCGCAGTCTATCTTTAGGACTGCTTTCTTTCATGTCAGCGTAAACACTTCATAAAGTAGCGATGAACACTTAGTTGAGGGTCATCACAAAGAAGCACCCACTTAGAATATTTACAATTGTGGGATTAGAATAATAAGAGAAAAGAAGCAGAATTGGATGGAGTTTAAAGATGAAAATAAGAGTGACGCTTTCCTAGGGAATAAGATATACCTTTTTTAGCATTTAGTAATGGAAATCAACTCATACATCGGTAAAATGCTCCCAGCTGAAGGGGACTTCATTACCAAATTCGAACTTGAGATGTTGGTTAAGAGAGGAGAGAACCACCCCTTCCTTCAGTGGTTATTTTGCATCTGCAACTATGAAGAACCATTAACCACAACCTTGATACCTATGCATGTCTTGACTATTTATATGAACTTGGCAGTGGTTTGCTTGAGAATCTTTACTAACATGATCCATATTAATCCATATACTAAACTAAAATAAATGAAATGGTAAATTCACTAAACTTTTTGGGTAGTAATACAACAGTGAGAACACACATGATTTATCCACATCTACACAAAGAAATGAAAATAATCAATTGAGATTTGTCCTACATGAAAATATGAGAAGATCACCTTCTAGGTTGTGCTTCTATAAACATAAAGTTTCTAACTTCTTTTTATATGAGGAATTGATGGTGGTGTTCGGACCAATTTGCACGCACCTCGACTATTTCCAAGTACTATTACCTCCCGCCAGCATAGTAAATAACAACAAACACTCTAACTTTATTGAGTATTAATTCAACATTGTATAATTATTTTGCATCCATATTATACCACGAATTCTTTGACATGAATATTGCCCTCAAGGACGTGTACAAGAAGGTCTTTGATTAAAAGTGGAGACTAAAATTGTAATTCAAAAGGTTTCAGTAAATACATGCTTAGCATAACGAACTCATACCATCTAAATATCTTCTCATCTTCACAATTAAGAAGATCATGTCTTCTTTCTAGGTAAAAGCCAAAAGAAAATGCTTTAGTCTAAAGTGTTTAACTTTCAAGAAATACAATAATCCATCTACACCAAAACAAAAAGTAAATTTAATTCTCGAGTACAAGGAATTTGGAGACAGGGGAAAAACTTAATAAAAATCAAGCAGAAAAAGGCCAGCACAACATTAAAGTTGTACATCTCGTAAAATCAAACAAATGAAATGCTTACAGGCAGGCCTAAAGTGATAACATCAGCCTATGACCATCATCATTACTCGTCTTTCAGAACCCTCCTAAATTCCCTATTTGGCTTCGAATTCTAATATTGAAACTTGTGGTGATATTCAAATCCAAAAACAAAATTAACGTAGTCCAGAAATAGCTATACTTTCTTTTCGGGCAATTTCACGAACACCTTTTATGCAAGTACGGATGTTGTACCTAATATAACAAACTCTTAATCTATTGTTACTTACCTACCTTGAAACAGATGACATTTAAGATTAAATCATATCTTGAAAGAGCTGAAACTGATGAAATTTAAGATTAACCCATGAAAATATATGCAATACAGTAACCTAAATTCATGGAAAATTCAAAACATCTCGAATTAGAAATTAACACAATCTTAAACCTAACTAACATTAAAAAGGACAAATAAAAAGGAAAAAACAGAGGGGAAACTTACCTGTAAACTAGGCAAGAAAGAGCAGTAGGAGTTTAGGGAGAAAAAAGTATTCTTGAAGACTTGCGATGTTAAGGAGGAGACTGCTTCTAACCACAGCAATGTGAAATAAGTAGCAGAAGTGAGGGCCATTAAATAAGTTAAATCAGATAGTTCAACCTTTTATTCACAAAGTACAAAAGGCAACAACAGATAAAAATACCAAAAATATCCTTAAAGCATCTGGTTTAGCTAAGTTTTTTTTACTTTAAAAAAAAAAGTACAACCTAAAATGCATTATTGTACAAGAATAACACTGCTAAAAATAATGGAAAACCCTAAAATACCCCTAACCTAGAGTAAACAAACAGCTAACTGTCCTTTATATATAAGGAGTAAAGTAATATATATAGGGAAAATGGTCTGAAAAATACTTCAACTTTGATCGAAATTGCTGTTATGATACCAAACTTTATGGAGAACATTTTATCCCTACATTATTTAATAGTATATTTTAAAGGTATATATGTGTCCACGTGGACACGTTACTATTTATAATTATGCAATATTTATAATGTACACGTGGCACATATATACTTTTAAAATACACTATTAAATAGTGCAGGGGTAAAAGGTCATTTCCAAAGTTTGGTATCATTACAGCAATTTCAATCAAAGTTCGGATATATTTCAAACATTTTTCCCTAATATATATATATATAAAATTTATCATATGATT